AAAAAAATTTTATATTCTTTATATAAATATGTACATATATCTATATACAGCTATGTGTATAATATGTAAAAATTCTCCTAAAACACATGAGTAATGAAACTGAATATACTCCCCCACACACCAAAAAAATCCTCTTACTTATAACAATTTAAGAATAATTGAATTTAGAACAATGGCTACCTAGTAGGGACAGGAAGGCTGATGATGAGAGAGAAGTAGAGGTTTCAACTGTACCGGTAATGTTTATTTCTGAATCTCTGCGTGGATCCACATATGTTTACTACGTTAGTCTTTAAAGCTCTTTAATTATCACAAATATTTTGTTGAAAAGGATTTTAACAGAAACCACTAGTAGAAGGGAAATAGGTATAGTATTTTCAAAAAAGGAAATCCAGAAAACAAAGTGGGAGAGGTTGCTGGAGAGGACAGAATACAAGAAAGCACAATAAACAAAAAACACTATGATGGTGAGTGAAAAAAAAATCAATGATCACACACACAAAAAACCACAATGACAAAAATTCCTCTATTAAATGCCAAAGATTCTCAAATTCTGTTAAAAGTCTATATCTAACTATATACTTTTTACAAAATTCTTACCCAAAGCAAAATAACAGAGAAAGAAAGAGCAAGAGTGGATGTTGAATGTTTTCAAATGGCTTTTAAATATCCACTGAGATGATTATAGATGATTGCTTTTCTCCTTCAACCTACAGTCTACTATTTTTATTTTGGGAAATGAATGAATTAAGGCTTTCTTTATGGCGTAACATTGGACCAATTCTTTTTTTTTTTTAAGTAGTTTCCACACCCAACGTGAAACTCACAACCTTGAGATCAAGAGCCCTATGCTCTAACAAGCCAGCCAGGTGCCCCAACACTGGACCAATTCTTACAAATGTTACAAGCATGTTGGGAAAGAATATGTATTCTCTGTAGGGTGCAAAGTTCCTTGTGCATCTGTTATATCAAGCTTGTGTGTTATTTAAATCCTTCTCTGTATCTTTACCTATTTTATCAAGATAGGATTCGAAGGAATAACATTTGGTAAAATATAAGCATGTTTGTCTATGTATACATCAGCTCTGAAAGGAAATGGAAGTAACTCGAAAAATGCTTAATTCCAAGGAGGAAATAAGGGAGGGAACAAGATGTTTGTTTTTATACTTTTTGAATTATGAACTTGTGACATCACACATTCAAAAAAACTAAAAATAAATAAAAGTATAAAAGCAATAAAATTAAAAGTAGGGGCGCCTGGGTGGCTCGGTTGGTTGTCTGCCTTCGACTCAGGTCATAATCTCAGGGTCCTGGGATTGAGCCCCACGTCAGCTCCCTGCTCAGTGGGGAGTCTGCTCACCCTCTCCCTCTGCTGCTCCCCCAGCTTGTGCTCTCTCCCCATCTCTCTCAAGTAAAATAAATAAAAAATCTTAAAAAACTAAAATAAAAGTAAAGATTTTTAAAGAATCCCATTATGATTCACCTACCTATTTTTACATCACATTTGACTGTAAAAAGCTAAATGAGATCAAAGATTTTCAATATATTACAGAAAAAAATTATTTATGCAAAGTGGGAGAAAGAAAAATTCTTTTTTTTTTTTTTTTAAATTTTGTTTATTTATTTGAGAGAGAGAGAATGAGAGATAGAGAGCACGAGAGGGAAGAGGGTCAGAGGGAGAAGCAGACTCCCCACCGAGCGGGGAGCCCGATGCGGGACTCGATCCCGGGACTCCAGGATCATGACCTGAGCCGAAGGCAGTCGCTTAACCAACTGAGCCACCCAGGCGCCCGGAGAAAGAAAAATTCTAATTGTACTCCTTGCTTTTCATTTGGCCAGAATAGTTTTGCTTCAATATAAAAAATACTTTCTGATGCCTTGGAAGTAAAGTTATACATTTTTTAAAAGAAGCTAAAGTAGAAGTTTTACTCAATAGCACATTTTCATCATCTTTGTGAAAATTCATGTTTAAAACAGCAAAATTTGGGGCGCCTGGGTGGCTTAGTCGGTTAAGTATCTGACTCAGGTTGATTTCGGCTCAGGTCATGATGTGAGACTGAGCCCCATGTTGGGCTCTGCGCTCATCACAGAGTCAGCTTGGGATTCTCCCCCTCTGCCCCTCCCCCTGCTCATGCTGTGCCTCTCTAAAATAAATAAGTAAAATCTTAAGATTTTACTTATTTATTTGACAGAGAGAGACACAGCGAGAGAGGGACATGAGCAGGGGGAGTGGGAGAGGGAGAAGCAGGCCTCCTGCTGAGCAGGGAGCCTGACACGGGCCCAAACCCAGGACCCCAGGATTACGACCTGGGCCGAAGGCAGACGCCCAATGACTGAGCCACCCAGATGCCCCAATAAGTAAAATCTTTAAAAAATAAAAATAAAAAAGCAAAATTTTACAAACTACCTTATGCATGCATATAAAAAGAGAGGCATCTAGAAAAAAATGCCCAAAAACATTTAAAAAGAAAATTAAAAGCCATATATATCATTTTTTTGGCTTATATATTTTAAAGACACATGAAACTCCATATACTACACCAACAGTTCATCGTTTCACTCCAGGAATTCCATTTCAAATTTTGCATGTCTTGTAGGGTAACACTGTAACCCATGGCATGTAGCCCTGTAGAGCATGAAATCTAATGTGAATATGTAATCTACTGACTACAACTCAGGAAACAAAACAACATATACCAGCATGCGGAGGAGGTTAAAGGAATAAAACAATCCTGCTCAAACATTCCTATGTTGGGTTATGGTAAATACCCTGAGATATAGGGTAATATAATTCATCTGCTTTTTAACCCTTAATTTGGACGATGAAAGAACATAATTTCCTTCCTTTCCACTTTTATATACTGTCTCAATAAGTTCAAAGGTCCGATTCTATGTATGAGCAGCACACTGTGCTCATTGCTGGACAAAGAAATGGCAGCAATTTTTTTCTTTCAATTTTAACTATACTTACTTAGTATTAAAAATGAGCTATAGATAATATATAACATAAATATTCATTACATTTTTTGAGAAAAATCACATTTTAAAAACACCATTGGAAAAATTGATTTTTTTTTAATTGAAGATAGCTGACACAATGTTACATTAGTTTAAGTGTACAACATAGTGATTTCACAACTCTATACATTATGGAAAAAAGAATTAACTCTTATTCACTCTGTAGAACATCTTTCTTATACAGAGATGCTGCATAGGTCATGCAGAGCACACATCATTCCTATCTACTGAAGCATGAACCTATAAAGCAATGGAGTGCTATGAGTTAGTTGCCTTTACCTAATTTCTTTCTTGGTCTCTGTCCACATTAATTTTTTTTCTTTTAAATCTTTTTCCCTCTAATTGAAAAAGTAATATATGTTCAACGGGTATTAATGTTATCTTAGGGGGAAAAATTACCTTGAATTTCACCATTGAAAATTAACTACTTAATGTTTGTCTTTCCAGCCTTTTGTCTAAGCACATGTTTATTTACATAAAATGCAATATGATTAAACCATTTTATATGTTTTCAGTTATCTAATACATCATGAACATTGTTCCTAGTCAATTAATATTATTATTTTTTTAAAGTATGTTCTATGCCCAACAGGAAGCTTGAACTCACTAACCCAAAATCAAGAGTCACATGTTCATGGCACCTGGCTGACTCAGTCTGTAGAGCATGCCACTCTTGATCTTGGGCTTGTGAGTTCTACCCCCGCGTTGGGCATACAGATTACCTAAAAAAAAGAAAAAGAAAAAAAGAGTCGCATGCTCTACTGACTAAGCCAGCCAGGTACCCCCAGTTGATATTATTTTCAGTTTTTGTGTGATTGGAAAATAGCCTACAATATGGATTTATTTATTCATTTAAATTATACTTATTATTGGGCGCCTGGGTGGCTCAGTTGGTTAAGCGACTGCCTTCAGCTCAGGTCATGATCCTAGAGTCCCAGAATGGAGTCCCGCATCGGGCTCCCTGCTCAGCAGGGAGTCTGCTTCTCCCTCTGACCCTCTTCCCTCTCGTGCTCTCCATCTCTCATTCTCTCTCTCTCAAATAAATAAAATCTTTAAAAAATAAATAAATAAATAAATTATACTTATTATTTAATATAGCCAATTCCCTACTATTGAACATTTTGGTTTGTTTGTTTTTACTAACATAAATAATGTCTTGATCCTTGTGTATACATCTTTGAGCACATTTCTGATTAGTTCCTTACAATAATCTCCTAGAACTAGAATTGCACACCCAAGGAATATGTATCTTTTCAAGATTTTTTTTAAGATTTTATTTATTTAGGGCGCCTGGGTGGCTCAGTTGGTTAAGCGACTGCCTTCGGCTCAGGTCATGATCCTGGAGTCCCAGGATCAAGTCCCGCATCAGGCTCCCTGCTCGGCGAGGGGAGCCTGCTTCTCCCTCTGACCCTCTCCCCTCTCATGTACTCTCTCTCTCTCATTCTCACTCTCTCAAATAAATAAATCTTAAAAAAAAAAAAAAAAAAGATTTTATTTATTTAGGGCGCCTGTGTGGCTCAGTTGGTTAAGAAACTGCCTTCGGCTCAGGTCATGATCCTGGAGTCCTGGGATTGAACTCGGGCTCCCTGCTCGGCGGGGAGTCTGCTTCTCCCTCTGACCCTCTTCCCTCTCGTGCTATCTCTCATTCTCTCTCTCTCTCAAATAAATAAATAAGATCTTTTATTTATTTGAGAGAGAGAGAGAGAGCACGAACAAACAGGGGGAGTGGCAGGCAGAGGTAGAGGGAGAAGCAGGCTCCCCCCAGAGCAGGGGGAGCCCGATGTGGGCCTCGATCCCAGGACCCCGGAATCATGACCTAAGCCGAAGGCAGTCACTTAACGAACTGAGCCACCCAGGTGCCCTCTTTTTAAGAGTTTTGATGCATATTACCAAAATCCCCTCCAAATAGGCTATAAAAATTTCTTACTCCCACCAATGACATATTATTAGAGTATCCATGTTACTTAAAGTGGCTGATTTTTATGTTTGCAAGGAACAAACAAGGGCTTGATATTCTTTAACAATTTAAGTTTATCCATATATACTAATTGCATTGAATTCTGTTTACACTAAGATTTCTAGAAGGCTTGTTTAACTAGGTGTTTAAAGGAATAGGGTGCCTGGCTGGCTCAGTCAGTACAGCATGCAACTCTTGATCTCAGGGTCATTAGTTGGAGCCCCACGTGGGGTGTAAAGATTACCTTAAAAATAAAAAATAGGGGCCCCTGGGTGGCTCCGTTAAGCGGTCAACTCTTGATTTCAGCTCAGGTCATGATCCCCAGGTCCTGGGATCCAGCTCTGTGTCAGGCTCCATGCTCAGTGGAGAGGATTCTCTCTCTCTCCCTCTGCTTCTCCCTGCCAACTCATGGGTGTGCTTTCTCTCTCTCTCTCAAATAAATACACAAATCTAAATAAATCCTTAAATAAAGGAATAAACCTTATCTCCATCACTAATCGAATATTTTTTAAAAATCCTGCTGAGCTGGGATGCCTGGGTGGCTCAGTCAGTTAAGCGTCTACGTTCCGCTCAGGTCATGATCCCAGGGTCCTGGGTTCAAGTCCCACAGCAGGCTCCCTGCTCAGCCGGGAGCCTGCTTCTCCCTCTGCCTGCTTTGCCTGCTCTGCCTGCCGTTCCCCCCTGCTTGTGTTCTTTCTTTCTCTCTGACAAATAAATAAATAAAATCTTAAAAAAAAAACAAAAACAAATCAGGCTGAGCTGTTATGTGTCTGGAAAGGGCATGACTCTTTAATCCCAATAAACAAATAGTACGTACTTCAATGATTCCAAGATTTTGGTTTAGCGAATATCAGTATCCTGAAATGATATTTAACCACTATTGCAAATGAAAAGGTTAAAGTAGATAAGAGATAAATCTCTTGCAAAATTTGTTCCCAAACTTGAACTCCCTTTTGTATACTCTTTCCGCTATAATTCACAACCAGAAACAAAGCCAGCAGATGGATAATGTTTTCATTCACTTTTACCTTTAGCATCCATTAACTCACCTAAATGTTTGTAATGGTGATTGTGAGCTTGTAATAAAACCTTTACTCGATCCAAAGGAGCAACTGTTGTTTTGGCACAGCATCCGGCAATACCTAAAAAATTTTTAAACAGTCAGGATGAAATTGCGTAGCATTTCTTTCCACATGGAAACCGTTATTCATTCAGCCGGCACACCTTCTGATTTCTAATTTGGTCTCCATGGGTAGAACTGCCCAGTTGCAGGGATATGCAGATGATTGGCCCCCATTCCCTGTAACTTAATAATTGAGTATGTCAGACATAAAAATAAATTTGAAGAGTGTAAATCTTCCCCCTAATACCTGATGAGCACTGGGAATCTTGCTAAATGTAGTTATGGAGACAGACACCTGAAGGTTTTTACCCAGCTATGAGGCTCTGTTTCAAGTAACCTCTTCTTCTGGATGACTCTCATTGAAACAACCAACTTTTACCCATAACAGTCAGCATACCCATATATATTCAGCAATTATGTATTTGGTCCCTACCATGTGCCACTGTGCAGACATACAGATGACAGTAATGTGTGCACATGGGCTTTAGTGTAGGTCAGAATCCAGGGCAGCCCTACTAGCTTGACTTGCTTCTTCTAAGACAATAATATATGAAGACTCTCTCTGCTATAGACTGTGTCCTCCCAAATTCATATGTTGAAAACTAATTCCCACTGTGATGGTATTTAGAGGTGAGGCTTTTGGGAATTGATGAGGTCAGCAGGGTGGAGCCCTCGTGAACAAGATTAATGCCTTTATAAAAGCCCAGAGAAATCCCTGGCCCCTTCCACCATGTGAAAACACTGAGAAGGTATCACCATGTGAAAACACAAAGAGGGGCGCCTGGGTGGCTCAGATAGTTGGGCGTCTGCCTTCGGCTCGGGTCATGATCCCGGGGTCCTCAATCCCAGGAGCCACATCAGGCTCCTGGCTCAGCAGGGGGCCTGCTTCTCCCTCTCCCTCTGCCTCTCTCCCTGCTCATGCTTTCTCTTCTCTCTCTCTGTATCTCTGTGTCCCAAATGAATAAATAAAATCCTTTAAAAGAAAAAAAAAAAAGAAAGAAAGAAAACACAAAGAGAAGGTGCCGTCTATGAGGAAGCAGGTCCTCACCAAACACCAAATCTCCTGACACCATGATTTGGCTTTCCCAGCTTCCAGAACTATAACAAATAAATATAACTATAACAAATAAGTGTCTGGAGCTTCCAGGTTGATAAAAAGGAAGTAAGAAAGGAAAGAAGGAAGGAAAAAGTTGTTTATAAAACACCCAGATTTTGATATTTTTGTTTAGTAGCCCAAACAGACGAAGAAAATTTTGTAAAGTACCTTACATGTTATAAGCACTTGATAAAATAGGCTGTTACATTATAAAAAGGTGGATAAAAAGTCTCTGGTGTCTTACTATGATTACATTAAGCTCTTCACTATTGCATATTTGATCCAGAAGTTACAAGAGGACTGGGATTTTGTGGGTCGCCTTTATTACTATACTGCCAGAGACCAGTACAGGGCCTGGCACATAACAGGCACTCAGTGTCTATTTAATGAATGAATGTAGGGGCACCTGGGTGGCTCAATCAGCTAAGCGTCTGCCTGCAGCTCAGGTCATGATCCCAGGGTCCTGGGATTGAGCCCCACATCGGGCTCCCTGCTCAGCAGGGAGTTTGCTTCTCTCTCTCCCTCTCCCCCAGCTCCTGCTCACTCTCCCTCTCGTTCTAAAATAAATAGGATTTTTTTTTAAAAATGAATGTAGAGTTTTACTTCACAATTTTTTTATTTTTTTTTTAAATATTTTATTTAGTTATTTGGGGGAGAGAGAGAGAGAGCACACGAGCAGGGGGCAGAGGGAGAGGGAGAAGCAGACTCCCTTGCTGAGAAGGGAGCCTGACGTAGGGTTCAATCCCAGGACCCTGGCTGGGCTCATGACCTTAGCCAAAGGCAGAAGGTAGGGGCGCCTGGGTGGCTCAGTTGTTAAGCATCTGCCTTTGATTCGGGTCATGATTCCAGGATCCTGGGAGCGAGCCCTGCATCGGGCTCCCTGCTCCGTGGGAAGCCTGCTTCTCCCTCTCCCACTCCCCTTGCTTGTGTTCCCTCTCTCGCTGTCTCTCTCTCTGTCAAAAAAAAAAAAAAAAAAAAAAAAAAGGCAGAAGGCAGACATTTAATGGACTGAGCCACCCAGACACCCCTACAAACTTTTTAAAATGTGAGACAAGGGTCGCCTGGGTGGCTCAGCCAGTTAAGCATCTGCCTTCAGCTCAGGTCATGATCCCAGGGTCCTGGGATAGAGCCCCGCATCAGGCTCCCTGCTCAGTGGAGAGCCTGCTTCTCCCTCTCCCTCTGTCGCTCCCCCTGCTTGTGCACTGTCTCTCTCTCTCTAATAAATAAATAAAATCTTAAAAAAAAAAAGTGAGACAAAATCACTCAAAATCCACACATTTATTTAATAGCCTACCATGTAACTAATATTAATTAAAATTCATATTCTGAGATATCCAAAAATAAAATACCTATTTGTATTCAAATATTAAATCCACATATAAGTTTCTATATCAAGCTTCTTTTATCTGAACTAATGAAAATCATAGTCATGACTACTCAAAATTGAGAAGAAACTAAAAATAATTTGCATTTGGGTATATTTGGTTTCAGAACATTATACTATCTTCTCAGTCATGAACTAACCATATAATGAAATTATTCAGAATATGTTCAATAAGTAGTTTCCTTTGATAGTATCTTAACTCAATCACATTACTTTATAGTTCAATTAATCATTACAACAATCCATTGAGTTAAGTCATGCAGCTTTTATCTTCCTTTTGAGCAAATGAGGTTAAGATAGTGGCCAAGGCCACTGCTAATCAACAATAGTTAAGTTTTGAGTATTTACCTTGTACCAGGTACTAGGCTAAGAGATTTTTTTTTTAAGATTTTATTTATTTATTTGACAGAGTGAGAGAGCACAAGCAGAGGGAGTGGCAGGCAGAGGGAGAGGGAGAAGCAGGCTCTCCACCAAGCAGGGAGCCCCACGTGGGGCTTGATCCCAGGGTGACCTGAGCTGAAGGCAGACGCCCAACTGATTGAGCCACCCAGGCATCCCTAGGCTAAGAGATTTAACTCAGAACACTATGCCAAGGCTTTTATGGATACTATCTCATTTAATCACTACAACCTTCTAAACAAGGATATCTTTTCCCATTTAAAGGATGTGAAGGGGCGCCTGGGTGGCTCAGTCGTTAAGCGTCGGTCATGATCCCAGGGTCTAGGGTCCTAGGATCCTAGGATCCAGCCCCGCATCGGGCTCCCTGCTCCGCGGGAAGCCTGCTTCTCCCTCTCCTACTCCCCCTGCTTGTGTTCCTGCTCTCGCGGTCTCTGTCAAATAAATCAAGAAAGAAAGAGAGAGGGCGCCTGGGTGGCTCAGTTGGTTAAGCGACTGCCTTTGGCTCAGGTCATGATCCTGGAGTCCCGGGATCGAGTCCCACATCGGGCTCCCTGCTCAGCAGGGAGTCTGCTTCTCCCTCTGACCCTCTTCCCTCTCATGCTCTCTATCTCTCATTCTCTCCCTCTCAAATAAATAAATAAAATCTTTAAAAAAAAAAGAAAGAGAAAGAAAGAAAGAAAGGAAGGAAGGATGTGAAAACTGAGGCACAGGGAGGCTTAAAGTAACTTGCCCAAAGGTACTTTGTTGTATCACTTGGACAAGGAATTCATTCAAAATTATTCACACTTTCTAAAAATCTGAAGCAGCACTTTACCAAGAGACACAAATGGCCAAAAAGGATATGAAAAGATATTCAGCATCATTAGTCATCAGGGAAATGCAAATTAAAACCACAATCACATACCTTTAAACATCTATTTAAAGAGAAACACACAATTACACAAACACAAAGGACACAAACTCTGATAACAGCAAGTATTGACAAGATAGTGGGGATACAAAATGGAACAGACACTTTAGAAAAGAGTTTGGTGAGCTCCCGGGTGGCTCAGTTGGTTAAGCCACTGCCTTCGGCTCAGGTCATGATCCTGGGGTCTCAGGATCAAGCCCCCATCAGGGTCCCTGCTCAGTGGGCAGCCTGCTTCTCCCTCTGACCCTCCCCCCTCGTGCTCTCTCTCTCAAGTAAATAAATAAAATCTTAAAAAAAAAAAAAAAAAGAAAAGAGTTTGGCAATTCCTACTTCACTCCAAATAAAACTTGGAATCTTTACAATTGTTTGGGAAGCCTTTCATTCAGCCTCCCATCACCTCTAACCTCCTTCCCCCATCAACACTTGGCTCCAGCTACATAACTTTGCTTAAAGCCTGAAATGCTCCTCTTGAGACATCAACTTGCAAACTCCCTCACTACCTCAAGTCTGCTCAAGTGTCATCCTCTCCAAGAGATTTATCATGACTGTCCTAATTAACATTGCACCCACTCAGCCTCTGCATTTCCTTGCGCCATTCTCCTTTTTACTTCTTCCCATTGCATTCATCACCTTCTAACGTACTATATAACTTACTTTCTCATTTTACTTATTCTCTTTCTCCCCTCAACTCTTCAATCAATGTAAACTCCAGGATCTTTGTTTTGTTCCCTGATACACACTGAGCATGTAGCAGGCACTCATATTCTTTGTATAAATGAATGAATGCCGTTTTTATCAGAACAAAATAAATTCTTAATACTACTGCACCCTACAGATATTCTTTCTAAAAGCCCTTATAATGTGGAATTGTAAAAATTCCCACCTTAGCAAGTAATTAAGTGTTGACAACCCAATCAATTAAGAGAGGGTAGAGATTGAAAACACTTCTTTATAGGAAAGCAGAGGAAGTTTCTGAGAGACAATTAGGAACTTTCTGGCCTCACAGTGGCACGGATAGAAGGGCTTCCCCAGCTACCTGTCATGTAGCTATGGAACACTTTGCTAGAATCACTGGAACCAGTTTTGCACAATTTCCCAGTCAACTTTTAAAAAGCTGACCTCCAATATTTGCTTTCTTTAAAGCAAACGGCAAAATCCAGTTCTACACTGTGTCATTTATAGTCTTTATAAAAGAAAGGGGTACCCGGCATGTTTCACGGAAACCCTGGAGTCTTTGCAAAGGACTAAGCTCTTTTCCCTACCATCCAACCCCGAAGAATGGTGCTTGGTTCAGCCTGTCCACCTCCCCAGCGGCTCCCTGACAGCTCGAGGCCCTTCCTCCCCAGGATCCTGCTGTCACTAGTCAAGTGATTATTAGAGTTACAACAGGTCAGAGCAAATAGCGGAGCACTGAAGCAGCCAGAGTCCAAGAACGTCACTGCGGCCGCAAGCACCGTATCTGCCCCGGATCCCGCCCTGCCACCCCAGCACGGCCGGGTCCCCCCGGCTGACACCCACCTCCAGCCAGAAAGGAGCGCAGCCAGTAGAAGTCCCGACGGGCGGTGGGCCCTCCGGCTCCTGCCGCCTGCGGCATCGCGGGAGGGGGGTCCGCCGCTGCCAAGGCCGCCGCTGCCGCCATCAGGACCAGTGCCGCGTCGGGAACTCTGGTCGCCAATTTACAAGCCACGCGCTGGGGCCATGGCCACAGCGGGCGGTGACAGAGCACCGACCGCCGCGCGGGCGGGACGGAATAACACCCGGCTGCGCGACGCGGGCTGATGGCGTACGCCAGGGGGCGGGGCCTGGGCGCGGGTCCCAAGTGGGAGTCACCCAAGCTTGCCACCTCCCCCACCCAGCGTCGCCCCACTACCCTACTCCCGGCCTCGCTTTCCAGGCCTCTTCTGTTCTAACGGAAGAGAAGCGTGGCCCCGAGGGAGGTCCCACCAAAACCCCACCACTTCAGAGAGCTCGCCCCGGTCCATTGACTTTAACTGCCCATCCGGCTGTCTTCTGAACTACGTCAGATGAATCCTTTCCAGAACCAGTCTTTGGTTCCTCTCTGCTCTTTCCAGGAACCTCGGAAATTGCACCATTTCCCACCAAATCAGTTCTGCCTTCACAGAGCTTCTCACTGAACCTCAGTTTCTGCCCTTCCTAACCCACCTATTAATCTTCCACTCCACCCCATCACCTCTGTCAAAGAAATATTGCTAAAGCAGATTGTTCTTTCTTTGGGGCCCTACAAATTACACAAATACTTTTGCCTTGTCAAGCCTTTCTGAATCTGTGCCTTGTGCTTAGCTCTCAAATCCCACTGAGCTCTACTCCCCACTCCAGTCTCAGTCCTAAACTCTTAGAAACTCCCTAGTTCCTTCTCCCTTCCCCCATTGTATTCCAAGACTCTATTACTTAACTACTCTATAGGGGCACAATTCTCTTACTGTGAGCCCCTCATCACTTCCCAGGCTGGGCAAAATCATTCCTATTCTTTATAACCAAAGTTGTTCTGAACTAGTATCGTCTTTCAGAAACTATCTTTTATGATTTTCCTCAATACTTATTCCAACCTTTCCTGTTATTGGCACTGGTGTCTTCTTTCTCTTTCTATGGATATGCTTCTGTAAGGTGTTTCTAGCCAAATGTAGTCACTAATGATGAGTCCAGATTTAAATTTTATCTTTCCCCATGTTCCCAATTTTCGATTTCCGCTGGAAAATACAGACCCATATAATAGTATCATTATTTATATTTTACATGTCTAATGACAAGAATCAAAAGCTCCCCAGAATAGAATGATTGTACATTGTAAATGTAACTAATGCTACTAAATTGTACAATTAAAAATGGTTAAAATTGTAAATTTTAAATGAAGTGTATTTTACACAATAAAAAAATTCAAAGAGGGGCGCCTGCATGGCTCAGTCCTTAAGCGTCTGCCTTCGGCTCGGGTCATGATCCCAGGGTCCTGGGATCGAGCCCCGCATCAGTCTCCCTGCTCCGTGGGAAGCCTGCTTCTCCCTCTCCCACTCCCCCTGCTTGTGTACCCTCTCTCACTGTGTGTCTCTCTCTCTGTCAAATAAATAAAATCTTCAAAAAAAATTTTTTTCCAAAGAAAAAACTCATTTTTTTTTTAGTGTAACAACAAAGGAAAAATTTCTGTATTTTGGGGGTGCCTAGCTGGCTCAGTCAGTAGATTGTGCAACTCTTGATCTCAGGGTTGTGAGTTCGAGCCCCACATTGGGTGTAGAGATTACTTAAAATTAAATCTTAAAAAAAATTATATGATTTCACTCATATGTGGAATTTAAGAAACAAAACAGAGGATCATAGGGGAAGGGAGGGAAAAATAAAATAAGATGAAATCAGAGAGGGAACCAAACTGTAAGAGACTTTTTTTTTTAAGATTTTATTTATTTATTTGTCAGAGAGAGAGAAAGAGAGAGCAAGCACAAGCAGGAGGAGGGGCAGAGGGAGAAGCAGACTCCCTGCTGAGCAGGGAGCCTGATGCAGGACTCGATCCCAGGACCCTGGGATCATTACTAGAGCGGAAGGCAGCTGCTTAACTGACTGAGCCACCCAGGAGTTCCATTCTTTTTTTTTTTTTTAAGATTTTATTTATTTCTTTGAAAGAGAGAGAAAGAGCTGGAGAGAGGGGCAGAGGGAGAAGCAGACTCCTCGACAAGCAGTGAGCCCGATGAGGGGCTTGATGCAGGGCTTGATGTGGGCCTCTATCCCAGGACCCTGAGATCATGACCTGAACCCAAGGCATAGGCTTAACAGACTGAGCCACCCAGGTGCCCCCAAAAGACTCTTATCTATAGGAAACAAATTGAGGGGTGCTGGAGGAGAGGCAGGTGTGGAATGGGGTAACTGGGTGATGGGCATTAAGGAGGGCACTTGATGTAATGAGCACTGGGTGTTATATGTAACTGATGAATCACTAAACTCTACCTCTGAAACTAATAATACACTATATGTTAATTAATTGAATTTAAATAAAATTAAAAAACACAAATTTCTGCATTTTCATATTACCTAACTAGCAAAACTGCCCTATTCCTATTGCTAACATGTATTTTTCCTGTCCTGTAAGCCATTATGGTACGTCTTTTCTCTCCCATTTCCATTTCCAATGAGATGCACCTTACAAGTTTAACTTATCATGTAATGGCTCCCAACTCCAAAACTCAATCCAGTTGAAGGATGGAAAGTTGATATAAAAGACAACTGACAAGGCACCTGGGTGGCACAGTCCATTAAGCACCCAACTCTTGGTTTTGGCTCAGGTTGTGAGATTGACCCCGTGTGTGCTTAAATTTCTCTCCCCCTATGCCCCTTACCCCTCATCGCGTGCATGCACTCACACTGTCTCTCTCTAATAAATGAATAAATCTTAAAAAAAAGATAACTGACAAGTCTAGTGATTTCAACATCCAATTACTTCTCCATCTATGCAACTGGTTGCTACTAAACTACCCAATCTACAGATGTCATAGTGTCCCAGGGCTCAGTCAGCGGGTCTCTTCTATAATTACACTCACTATGGGAGATCTCACCCAACCTCACAGTTTTATTTTTTATTATTATTTTGTTATATTTTATTTATTTTTTTAAGTAAATTCTATGCCCCCTGTGGGGCTCAAACTCACAACCCCTGAGATCAAGAGTCACATGCTCTATGGACTAAGCCAGCCAGGTGCCACTATATTTTATTTTATTTTTCACAATATAGTGATTCAGCAATTCTATACACTATTCAGTGCTCATCACAGTAAGTGTACTTTTAATCTCCATCACCTATTTCACCCATTCCCCACCTACCTCTCCTCTGATAATCACCAGTTTGTTCCTTATATTTGAGAGTCTGCTTTTTTGTCTCTTTTCTCTTTGTTCATTTTGTTTCTTAAATTCCACATATGAATGAAATCAGATGGTATCTGCTTTCTCTGACTGACTTATTTCGCTTAGCATTATACTCTCTAGATCCATTCATGTTGTTGCGAATGGCAAGATTTCACTCTTTTTTTGGCTCAGTAATATCCCATACAATTATACATAAAATATATACATTATATATGTGTGTGTATATTGTGCATATATATATGTATATATACACACACATATACATATGCCACATCTTTATCCATTCATCTATCCACGGACACTTGGGTTGCTTCCATAATTTGGCTATTGTAAACAGTGTTGCAATAAACGGGCGCATATATCTTTTTGGAATTAGCGTTTTCATTTTCTTTGGGTAAATACCTAATAATTGAATTACTGGATCATAAAGTATTCTATTTTTTTTAAAGATTTATTTATTTATTTATTTGAGAGAGAGAATGAGAGAGAGAGAGCACATGAGAGGAGGGAGGGTCAGAGGGAGAAGCAGACTCCCCGCTGAGCAGGGAGCCCAATGCGGGACTTGATCCTGGAACTCCAGGATCATGACCTGAGCCAAAGGCAGTCGCCTAACCAACTGAGCCACCCAGGTGCCCCAAAGTATTCTATTTTTAATGTTTTTGAGGAATCTCCATATTGTTTTCCACAATGCCTACCCCAGTTTGCATTCCCACCAACAGTGCACGACCAACCTCATAGTTTTATATACTACTGTACAGTGATGACTCCCAATCTCCAGCTCTTCCCATCCACTCCCCAAATCTATTGATTCATATTTCTAACATCTCCACTTACATATCTAATTGGCATCTATTTATCATGTCCAAATTCCTCATCTAAATCTAAATTCTTCATTTTCCTTTGCACACATGCTACTCCAGTAGCTTTCCCTCATTTTCATTACATGAAAACATGTAAAGTGCCAAAGAACAAAGTTTGTTTTGTTTTTAAGTAAGCTCTACCCTCAAAGAGGGGTTTGAACTCACGACTCTGAAATCAAGAGTAGCATGCTCTACTGACTGAGCCAGCCAGATGTCCCCTGCAAAGGACAAAGTTTTGGCAAAGCTTTTTTTTTTTTTTTAAGATTTTATTTATTTATTTTGGTGGGGGAGAGCGCATGAGAGGGGAGGAGGGGCAGAAGAAGAAGGAGAAGCAGACTCCTGCTGAGCAGGAAGCCTGATGCAGGCCTCAGTCCTAGGACCCTGGGATCATGACCTGAGCCGAAGATAGCCGCTTGACCGACTAAGCCAACCAATCACCCCAATGCTTTTTTTTTTTTTAATATGGACAATATATGAATACCATATAGATCATATATAACAATAACTACCTAAAAAGCCTTCTTCGTGGGGTGCCTGGGTGGCTCTGTTTGTTAAGCTTCCAACTCTTGATTTCTACTCAGGTCATGATCTCAGGGTCCTGAGATCAAGCCATGCCTAGGGCTCTGTGTTGGGCATGGGGCCTGCTTCAGATTCTCTTTCTGTTTCTCCCTCTGCCTCTCCCCACCTGCTTGCACTCAATCTCCCTCTCTCTCTAAAAAAAAAAATAAAAAATAAAAAGCCGTCTTTGAAAACGTCCCCATCCCCACATGTACCCCCACATTTCGTGAAACAGGGAGGAATCAGTGTGCCATTTTAAGATGATTCATTTATTTATTAGAGAGAGACAGAGAAAGAGCTGGGGGGAGAGGGGATTGTGGCCTGCAGCAGGAGAGGGACAGAAGCAGACTCCCCGCTAAACACAGAGCCTAAGAGGGGCCTCAATCTCAGGACCCTGAGATCATCACCTAAGCCAAATCAATTAACCAACTGAGCCACCCAGGCACCCCTCAGTGTGCCATTTTAAT